ATACTACTATATTCTTATAAACAAAACAAAACAAAAAGAGGTTAGCAATTGTAATGACAAAAATCTAGGGAACAGAGTTCTTTTTTGTCCTTCAAGCAGAAAAACTAACCAAATAAACACCCAGGAACTTGTTCCCCATAAGGATGTTGGGGAGCCTGCCACAACCTTTGGGAAGGGGGAGTGAGAATTAAAATATTATCTTCTCTTTCCCTGAACTGACTATCCCCACCTTCCAGGACCCCTCCACAGGAGCCCTAGCAGAAAGCTGGGTGAATCTTTCTAGTGGCCTCACTCAAGTCCTGGATGGATCTGAGTCACCCAGACAGAAATGATGACTGCTGAAGGGGTCTCTGGAAAGAAACTAAAACCACCCTAAAAATAAAAAAAATTAAAAAGTAAGAAAAAGAAAAATCCCAAGGATACCTATCAGGTACTAAGGCTGTAAGGGCATGGAGCAGAAATAATTCATCATTTTAAACACTCAGTGGAAACAAAGATTTATTTGATGTTTTAAATCAATATGGCTGGTATACCTTGATCTGAGCTTTAGCAAAAATAAAATTACTCAGATCGTTGTCTGATAGAATCGGGGCAATACAGAGAGTTGAGGAATTAAGCCTTAGAATAGAGCATAGAAATAGAAAATTCCTTTAAGATGTCTGCCAAACCCCCTTTTCCTCCTGAGAGCTTTATTTAAATCTTCAAGAGAGAAGATAGCTGTTCTATTTTTTAGTACATCAATGGAGGAAAAAACTATATCCTATCTCATTGTTAATCACACTCATCAATGCTGGTAAATTGTTTCTTTACATGTGACCCAAAGGAAAAAATTAAAGGATGCTCTCGCTCATCCCTCATGATGACTGACATGCTATCTCTAGGGCCTAATCCCATTCAGTGGCCTTTCCGTGGAGTCCAAAAAGGGTGTATAAAGCACTAAAGATAAGCTAAGGCCTTCCATATGTGTCCTTGCTCTTCTTGAAAACCATTTTCTCCTAGAAGGAAAAAAAAAAAAGGCTCTATTTCAACAGGCACATATCTTTTCAAATCTCCCAAAAATCTGGATAATAAAATTCTCTTCAGACCAGCGCTGACCATCATTGATTTACAGCACTAAGAAAGAATAAAAAAGAGAGGAAGTTTGATTATCCAAAACAAAAACTTTTATATGTGTGCTTTTCTAGGATTTACTTACACTAAACACATCAATGAATACCTAGATCCCTCAGGACAAAGGAAAACATTCCAAAAAAAAAAAAAGTTTTGATCTTTCTTTGAATGTAAAGTACCAGATAATATGATACTTACATTATATAACTGTCCATGTGCAGTAGCTTAGCTAAAAAAAGAACAGTGTGACATCTCCAGGGCTTTTTTATGATGTGTAGAGTAGGTGGGGTCTATCTTGCTGAGATAACTCTTTCTAAACTTGAGCTCTCATTCTGATAGGCAGCCAGGTATCTGGGGAGGTGTAGCCTCTCCTGAAGCTTCTAGGAAACTGCTTTGTGTAGGTGATGGAAAATGCATTTTCTTCTGAAACCCACATCAAGATTTTTCTCATGCATTCTCTCTAAGAATGACAGAACCAGAAGAACCCAGGGAGTCACCTGGAAGGGAAGAAGAGAATAAGTAGGAACAGAATAATATAAAGTTAAACATGGAAGGAAATATAAGATAACAACACATTCCAGAAACAGCAGCAGCTTCAGTGCGAGCAGTGCCATGGTACCCGCTCCACCGAAGTAGCCGGATTTCTTTTGTCATTGTCAGCAGCAGCTAAGCAGCTGTCCCGCCAGGTGCATTGCTTCAGTCTAATGGATCAAGGGCCTGGTCTCTGGAGTCACATGGCCCGTGTTCACACACTGTCTCCACCATTTCTCACTTTCATGACCTTGAGCAAATTTCTTGACTCCTTCTATGCTTCAGTTTCCCCATCTGTAAAATGAAAATAAACATAATAGCCATCTCATAAAATTATTGTAAAGACTGAATTGCATAAAGCATACAGAATGCTTATCTTAGTGCATGGAAGATATTTAAGCATCCAATAAACGTAAGCCAGCGTACCATTTCTGTTCATCTCTACAGGAGCCCTATTAAGTCACCATCATCAGCTTTGTTTATCGGGGAGAATACAGAGTTAAGAAGGAGATGTTACCTGTTGAGTTTCACACAGTTAGTTAGCATTCCAGACAGCATGTGTGTCCCAGAAATATCCAGCTCCAAATTGAAACCCTTTTCCTTGTGCCTCACTGTTTCTCCACTCTCCCAAGACACCCTATTTGAAGAATGTTGATTTCGTTCAATGCAAGTAGTTAACCAATGGTATTTGTCTAAATAGCTGGTATCCTAAAGGTCTGAAAGAATGAATAGTCCTCTCAGATGACACCACTTTTGATACTAGAAAGTAATATTCTTTGACCATCTACAGTCAGTCCCAAACATTCAAAGATCCCTTCAAAGACCAATGTCTTCACTGTGCATGTACAGTCCTACTAAAGCAGTAGTTCTCAAGTTTTATTGAGTCTGGGACCCCTTGTAGAATCAGATCAAAGAAAAAAACACTTTCCACAGGGGGAAAAAATGTACGTAAGCATACTCACAAAATATGCATAACAGCTTCAGTGGGTTGGGGGACTTGGGGAAGTCCCTGAAATCCAGGTTAAAAATCCCCACTGTAAAGTGTCTGCAGGTCTGGAGTGAAGTTCCATTACACAGATGCTTTTTCCTATCTAGCTATCATCTCCCTGCTTTGTTTTGCTTTGTTTCTGTTTGACTTCTTTCCCTCACTCCTGCCCCCTCCTTCCTGTCTCTTACCTCTCTTATTCTTCTTTCTCAATTCTCCACCCCCTCCCTACCTTGGCGATCAGACAAAGCCACTATCACAGCTCCCTCTCCCTTCCCCTCCCTCCCCTCTGTATCCTTCCTGACCAGCTGATTCCGGAGAGGAATTCGATAACTTATCAATAGGCATAGGTTGCTCCATAGGAATATTGGCCAGCCTAGGAAACAGTCTTTCTTTGAAGGATAGCAGATCAGAATTTCTGACTCCACAGGGGAGTGTTTCTCCTAATTCTCCAGTAAATGTGGCCACTTTCCATTAAATATACACAGATTTACTGTATCTTGTTTTCAAGGAAACAGATTCGCTAACAAGTTAACAATGCTGGTATAGATATCTGTGTACTCATTTGTCCTTCTGCGTCTGTGACTTTTTTTATGGTGCCCATCAACTTGGTAGTTAACCTCTCAGAAAAAGATATATTGGAAACAGAAAGAGTTCTCATTTAAGCAACCTTTAAATTAAAATGTGTCCACCTCTCTTAGGTTCCTTGTTTCCCTTCAATATGTGAGTGAATTCCATTTATAACAATTTTTTTATTAACCTTTTAAAAATGTAAAATTCAACCCTTTGGAATCCTTGGCCAATTTTATAGTCTCATTTTAGGGTTTTTTAAATATACATTCTGCCCATAGAGTTGCCTAATATGAAAATCTGGTTAAATAATTATAAGAATGAAAAACTTCAAATTGAAATAAAATGTAGAGTCCTGGCCCAGCCCGTGTGGTTCAGTGGTTGAGCATCAGCCTATGAACCAAGAGGTCACCAGTTTGATTCCCGGTCAGGCCACATGCCCTGGTTTCAGGCTGGATCCCTAGTAGGGGACGTGCAGGAGGCAGCTGATCAATGATTCTATCTCTGTATTCCTCTCCCTTCCTCTTTCTCTAAAATCAATAAAAAGATATTTTTTTTTAAAAAAAGTAAAATCCTGGACTAAAATATTTAAATGAAATATGGTTCAAAAAGTTTGCCTTATAATTTGCCTTTTGGTGTATTTTATACCTCTATAATATTCCATCATCAAAAATCTTAAAAAATCAATATTTCTATTCATAAGCAAATAAAAATGCTTTGTGTATACCCAAGAATTTCAAGGATGCTTTTCAAGAGAATAATCCTTTGTACTTTCCATGTGGGCATTTCCACAAAAACCAACTAAGATACGATGACCATGTTTTAGATAAGTCAGGTTCACCATCACAAAGGGTCTCTGAGATTACAAAAGGAACATTTTGTGAACTGTGGGGCATGAAAATTCAAGCAGAGGGACAAATGGTTTATACGAACATTACACATTTAGCTCAGAGCTTTCTGAATCCTTCATAGCAAACCCATCGGCATTTCTGCTTACTCTAACGATCCTTTAAGGCTCTTTTACTGTGAAGTCACTCACAGGACGGAAACACTTTTTTTTTTTAATTTGGAAAGGAAAAAAAACCTATCAAATGAATAGCATTGGCAAATGTTTCTAATCATTTCCTTAAAATACCAAACCACCAAACAATCTTTTTATTTACTACGTTTTGCTTAGGTACATAAATCAAAGGACTATAACAAGCCTAACGTCAGAGAAACTTTTCGACACGTCATACATTCGAGCAAGCTGAGCCGATAAACAGTTTAGATGAAGTTATGGTTGGAAATATGTTTCCCCAGAGGACTGTGGTTCATAAATTGCTATCAGGCTACCTCTGTCATTGTTGATTTGAGACATGCTCAAGGTACCCACAGCTATTACAAAGCCTGGCGTCACCTGACCTGTGCTTTCAGAGAAGGATACTTGGTTATACAAGGACAACTAACCATCCGTCCTATGAGAAATACAGTTTGCTTGTCACCATATATATATAATATTGCATTCTGTTTGAAATTTTGACCAACAGTAAAAAGAGCAGGAAATGTAATCTTTTTTCACAGGTTAGACAGTTTTCATAATCCTGAGATGGCGTTGAATTGATTGTTTTACAACGACTGTACTTCAAGAGCCCAGAAAAATGAGAGAATTTTAAAAAATACATCAAACAAAAACAATTTGCATCTCAGCATTTTGCAATTATATGGTAATTGATTACATCTGTGCTCTTAAGTCTTCTCTGCAGATCAGTGTTTTTGATACACTTATTAAAAATAAACCCACGGTCAAATCAAATATTACTGCATAATGTGTGTGCACGTTTATTCTCTCTGTGCCCGCAGAGCCCGACGCGCCCCGCGCCCCTCAGCCAGCCTGAGAGGATGGGGCAGTTCACTCTCCAGCCCGCACCGGCCCCTCTGCCTTGTGGATTTGGGAAACGTCAGGAAAAGATCAGAGCAAGGATCCTGCTACTTTTTATTCCCATCCTCTGGTCTTCACCTTCAAGGAAACACTTACAGGTTAGTTACAACTTGATTGTTCCGCATGAGATTTGTCCTCAGTGACCCTGCTTCACAGAAGCACAGACCCTACGAGTTTTAGAAACCGGCTGGATGAGTGTCATCCACTGCTAGAGACGTGACGAATTTAGAAATTTTATCAGCCTTGCTTTTAAAAGTCCTGGTAAGTTAAACAGTCAGAGGGGGAGGTTTCCCGCGAGTCCTGTTAATCATCTGGGAGGCTGCAGGGCTGCCCGCTGGGGGAGAGCTACTCAAATCTAAACTTGACCGCGTCACTCTCACGCACAGGAACCTGGCAAACGGAAAGGAAAATGTGTGGCTGTCTTACTAAATGTACGTATACATATCTCCCTGGAACTCGCGGATCTGGAGCACTTTGGCGAACTCATTCAAGGAAATGCCACTTGCACGCCCGCCTCACACTCGGTAAACTTTCCTGACGCTTCCATAGCAACCCTTGCTAATTTTACACCACCCTCTCAGCGCTCCGAATAAGAAAGCAGGTTTTGCCAAAGCAAACTTGAAGTTACCTTGGTTTTGACCTTTGGCTGGAATCACTTAGGAATCAGAAAGATCCTTCTCTCATTCATAATTTACAGTGCTCCGTGGCGCTGAACTTGTAGAAACAGAGCAGATCCTGGTGAGCAATTAAAAGGCTCCGCGATCACTATCAGCTGCTCTGTTCACTCACCCCTTTGGCCCCCAGATAAAAAGACAACCCGTTTGTTTTGAATAATTCGAAATATGAAACACCACACCTTTTCGATAGTTCCTTGTTATTTCTAATTAAAACAGAGCCTTTGATTGCAGAATTATTATTATTTTTTAAATTTTTTTTTAGGTTTTAAAAAAATAGAACACTTCTTTCATGAGGACCTTGGGAAACTTCCACAGAATTGGTTTATTCCTCTAAAAGGCACCCAAACAGGCACAGGGCATTTTACTCTGATAAAGCACTTCTGACACACAACTATTAACCTCTGAACAAAAGGCCTCCATCTACTCTTTCCTTTGGCCTCCTGTCCCACAATCCTCTGCTGTGGTTCTGGCGTCACTTCAAAGACCCTGGGGCCCAAGGGGGGTGCACTTATTCTATTTCCTTCTTCCTCCCCCATTTCTTCCCTTGTGCTCTCTCTTTCTCCCTTTTATTTTTTCCAGCTTTCCTCTGACAGCTCTCTTGCCTTTGATAGAAAAATGTCTAATCTCTCTATCTGCCCGCAACCTTTCCGTTTTCCTGACCACGTGCTTAGCTCTCTTTATGTCTTTTATTCAAGGGAAAAGTGGCCCGGTTGGGATGTAAAATGGCAACGCTAGTCTCAGTTTTGGAGCTATCTCTACTTTGCAACATGGAATGATAATATTTGAGGCAGGCTAAAGAGCAGCTCAGATTAGTAGACAAATCGGATCATCACTTGATACCCAAAAGGTTGCTTTCTCAGAATAAAAGAATAGAAGAGCCGGGAAGATGTTGAAGGTGCACTTCAGCTCCTCTTTGGAAGCTAAGAGGCCCCCAGAGGCTACCCAACTCGTCCAAAGCCACGGGCTGTGTGACAGAGGCAGTCACTGCCTTCTGAGCTCAGCACTTTCCACTGTCACACAGGATTTCCCTGTGGTGTGAAGACACTCATTCTTTGTCTTGTGCGATGGGCCCTAGTGAGACAATGCCTGCCCCAGCTCTCTTTTTCGGGCTGGAATGATGTGAACAAGGAAATTCCTGCATCCCCAAATCCACCCAGAGGCCTGTCCATTTTGACATCACATTTATTTCTGTTTCTTTTCTCTTTCATTCTGAGAGAAGAGAAACAATCAAACAACTTTAAAAAAAAAAAAAAAGCATAATTTTAGGCCTGTAGAATTTTAGAGCTGATAGGAAGCTTGAACTCTATGAGGCCGTGTTCTTCACATTACATCTGAGGTAAATTGGCCTCAGGTTAATTACTTGGTTAGTGAAAAAACTGGGAGCAGAAGGCCGGGTTTATGACTCAACTCTACCAAATCTCTGTTCACATGTAATTGAGAATATGCATATTATTCGACATTACCAGTAAAGCTTTAATTTACTGTGTGCATGTGAATCTCACCTAATTACTTTGTATTTCAAGCATCTATGATATGTAATAATCAGGATGTCTCATAAATTTACTTTCAATCACTTAATTACTCCTAAAATCGTTTATAAATCCAACTCCTTTTGCTATTCCTACAACGATTTCACATATCAAATATCAAATTTATCACCCTTCTGGGCAGGGGCTTAAACATATAAAATTTCTTTCGTGCTGTATTTTAAGGAAAATATCCACTTTGGCTTTTTAACTTGTTTTTTCCTGTGATCACCATAAGGCACTATTGATTTAGTTTTATATTAAGAAATTTTCTGATAAATGGTTTCAACTAAAGGTTTAAGAATTTTTAAGGAAAACAACTTGTCTCCTACTCATGTTTGTTTTCACCTTTAAGAACAAAGTCCCACAAGTCGAAGTTTATAGTCAATCAAAAAAAAGGCACATTACTTTTCCACTTTAATGGTAGAACGGGGACCTTTAACTTTCCTGAAGGCTTTGCTTTGGGGTTTATGCAGAGCAGAACTTCCTTAACGCTAGTAATCAGACCCGCAGGACATGTGTTAATTGTTTCTGACATGTAAAACTATCTACGGTATCTCAGCTAATAACACCATGGCAGGCATTTCACTTTGGGAAAGCACAGGATTGAAACCAATTACGTGTCTGTTGATTTACCTTCCCATACCTCCCCAAGACGTTAGTTTAGCTCATTCCAATAATGTCAAAATTTTAATCCCGAAATCACAGCAAAAACACTGAAATACAGAACCAAGTTATAATGTATGCCATCATTGGCTTAAAATACATTTGGGCAAAATATTATTTGTGCAATCCTACAGAAGCATATAACTGATACAGTTTCACCATAGCTAATGGCTTCAAATCAAACGTTATTTAAAGGTAAGTTGCCTTCAGACTGGTTACCATTAGGTACACTGATAATTTAGTGTAAGATATTAGCATTTATTTCTATCCAGGCTTTGAAAATTGTTGCATCAAGGACAGTTCTTTTTGCACAAAATAGAAAGCTACTCTGATGATCATAAGAAAAAAAAATTGGGGAAGGGGATTGAACAGAAGTTTATGGAGGCCTTCGCTGGTGTGGTTCAGTGGTTAGAGCATAGCTCACATCCAAAGGGTTGCAGGTTCGATTTGCAGTCAAGGGCACGTGCCTGGGTTGCAGGTTAGATCCCAGGGCCGGGTCAGGGCATGTGCAGGAGGCAACTAATCCATGTGTCTCTCTCTCCCTCCCTCCCTCCTTTCCCCCTTTCACTCTCTAAAAAAAAAGTCAATGGAAAAAAAATCAGTGAGAGAAAATATCCTCGGGTGGGGATTAACGAAAAAGAAGATGAAGAAGTACCTGGAGGCTGGTGGAATCGGTGGGAGCCTTGAGGACCAGGATGGGCAAATGGCTGGGAAGCCAGGGGCCCAGCAGATCTGAGCATCCAGCACCAGAGCAGCAGGCTGAGCGGGCTGAGCAGGCTGCTCCACGCTCACCGCCTCCGCTGCCCGGGGACTGCCCTCCATCCGTCCTCCGCCCCCTGACCCAGGTGCTCAAGATTCAAAGTCCCAGAAGGCGAAGCCTGATCGCCCAAATCTAAGTCACATGACTTCCTTGGGGAAGAGAGGGAGGGTCTGGCCCCCTTAGCCTGTTGTGCAGCTTCACCAAAAGGAGATCGGGGACTAATAAAAGGGAAGTTGTATAATGTAATCACACACACACACACACACACACAGGACAAGGGCTTACTGTAAATGTGCTGGTTTCATTTGTTTTTTAAAAAGCCTTTGAATTTGGGAACTAAGTTTCTATTTCTGGTTAAGTCCACCCTGAGCTTTCGATATTTAGTGTCTCAGATGGGAAACCAAATAGATGTGCCTCACACCCATGCCTTTGTTGCAACAAGTAAGGTTATAAAATGGTTCCTGGGTTTTGTCTGACTTTGATCATAGAGAGAGACTTGACTGACTGTAACAGAGAGCAAAATAATCTATTCTGAGATCTTTGAACTTTTTGCTAAAAAACAAGAATCAGCCACTTTCTCAACTAAAAAGAGTATTTCCAAATTGGATTCCAATGTTTGGTGAGACTGAGTCAGATCTTTCCCATTTGTTTCTTCTAGGTGACTCTGTCAGCTCATAGCTTAATTTTCTTCACACAAATATTTAATGTAAAAGTATTATGTGCACATAAACGTTTCACTAATGATGGCAGAAATGCAACCCAATATGGAACATTATCCTTTGGAATATTTTTACCATTTAAATAAAATAAAGATCAACTTTTTAAAAGGTGAATAAAATACTTCACTGCATATTTGCTTACTAAAGTCCAGATGCTACTTTTTAAATTAAAAAAAAAAAAAGTGTTCATACTAAGGATTTTACCAGATATGAGCACATTTTCATCAGATTTTTAACTTTTCAAAAACTGACCCTCACTGTGGGGAATGAAACAGGGAGAATTTGTAACCAGGTTTACTCCCTTCAAAAATTGTTTCCCAAGGGGGTGGCAGAAATGGGGAGATGTTAGTCAAAGGGCACAAACTTTTAGTTATAAGATGAATAAGTTCTAGGGATCTAATGTGTAGCATGGTGATTACAGTTAATAATACTGTATTATATATTGAAATGCTAAGAGAGTAGATTTTAGGTATTTGCACCACAAAAAATATGGTAACTATGAGAAGTAATGGATGTGTTAATTAACTTGATTGTGGTCATCATTTCACAATTTATATGCATATTAAATATCATGCTGTTTTACACCTTTCTAAAAATCACATTGTACAACCTAAATATATACAATTTTTGTCAATCATACCTCAGTAAAGTTGGAAAATAATAAGTCAGTAAAATAAAACAATTGTTCCCCATATAAGATAATAATAATATAAAGTTGATTCATATTAAGAGATGCTAAATAATAAAAGCTCTTAATAAATATTTACTAAATAAATAAATAATAACTACATTTATATCACACTAGCTGTGCCAGGCATTATTCTAATTACTTTACATATGTTCCTTTATTTCATTCTTACAACAGTCCAATGAGCTAGGTATTATATTTATACCCATTTTACAGATGAGAACACAGATGGGTAGAATAGTTAAGTATCTTGCTTAAGGTTTCATACCTAATCCAATAGGCCTGGCTCCAGAGTCTTTGCTCTTAATAATTAAGTTATAATTCCTCTCTAGATACAGATTGTCAAGAAAGGTAATGGGAGCCTTTCCATTAATGTAATTTAAAAATAAAATGTGGGTGGGATCATTGAAATAATCCTCCACCTTTCTCCAATTTTCGACCAAAATTTCATCTTCTAATATTAGAGCCCATAAATCTGGAATAAAGGACCCCTCTCCAAAAAGTAAATATATTTAGACAACTCTCTCCAAGGTACTCGCACATCTCTTTCACATACCAGGTTTGTAAGCTTTCTCCAATATTACTCTTGTCAAGTTATGACCCGTAAAGGTTTTGCTTGGGGTACAGAGGCTGATCCATACAACACAGAGTTACGGCTATGTAAATAGATAAGCAAATTTGAAACACTAATAATTTGATGCTTTGGAGTGCTGGGTGTATTTTCAGTGGTCTGAGAAAATGAAACAATCTGAAGAGATATCTAATATACAGCCACCGAAAAGCTTAATGAGTAAAGAAATCAAATCCCCGATGGTACATGGAATTGTACATTAAAGCGCTAGTGGGCAGAGTTATCAAGCGACCAACCGCTATGAGAACAAATGACTGTGTTTTGAGCAGTGGGCTGAACAGCACTGAAGAAAATAGTGGTTACTAAAAAGGTTTTCAGACTCACTGGAGTTACCGGGCCCTGTTACAAACTAACATCCACCATTAGTTACTGCGCTCATCCGTGCCATTGACGCCTACACTCAGAGCAACTGGAACAAAAATGTTTACATTTTACCAGTGTTTTATTTTCAATTAAACATCTTGGCTGCTTATTTACATAGTTGAATGGCATGGCATTTATACCATACAACTTGATGTTATTTCTTTGTAAATATTTCTCCAACAAGAGACCTAAGTTCAAATTCGTTGTGAAAATGTGACCAAAGATAAAATAAACTTTAATTTAACCTTGATCACAAATTATTGTTAGGCTAAAGCTGAAAACCTATAAAAATTAAAAATGGAAGGCCAAAGGAATTAACTGAAATGTCCGTGCCCCAGCAAGTGAATTGCCTTTGCTCTGCCTGGGCCTTTGAGGACTTAGGTTGAGTTAACTGAGGTCAAGTGAACGTGGCACATAAAGCTATGGAGGGCAAAGGAGAGCTGGCGAGGCTATGTCCTGTGCTTTCACCTCTCAGGCCTGCAGGTCTATTCTGGAATAAGTCACAACTGGAATGTTTCACGTTTCTTGCTAATAGTTGCTGTTATCTGACCAGCTCCTCTGTCCAAGATCATTCATCACTGCTGGAAATCTCCCCTCTTTCTGGGTCTGAAACTCCCAGGGCCAGGCAGGTCAGCATGAAATTCAGAATGGAAATAAAACATTAAGAGGGTGTGCCCAGCTTTCTTTGGGTTGCTACCTCAGAAGGTGCTCTTCCCAATCTCTCTTTAATACATGGAGAAGCCTAAGTAGATAAGCAGTGTTTTAGACTCACTTTTTGACATTTGCTTGTTGATTTCTTTCAGTTTTCTAGATTTTGACGTAGAAATCTGAGTTTAGGAAAAACGGGCTTTGGGGTAGAACAGGCCTTATACACACATAAAATAAAAGCCAATAATCACTATAGAATGTGACAAAAGAGATTCCAGTCACGACGTGATGCCTCTCCCACAGAGGTGAAGGTGTGGTTACAATTCTCTCCTTATTTTTTTTAGCAATTTTGTTGTTGTTGTTGAAAGTGTTACAGATGTCCCCCCTACCCCCCCCCC